GAGCGAGCACGCGCGAACCCTACCGGACGGCGCGAACCCTACCGGACGGGTCGGGTCGGGTCAGGCGGACCCTAACGGGCGGGTCGGGTTCGGGCTGGCGGGACACTAAAGTGTGGGGAACGTTGGAGTGAGCACGCGGGTCGGGCGGGCGGGCCCTAACGGGCGGGTCGGGACCCGACCCGCCCGTCGGGCTCACGCGGGCTCACTCCCTAACGGGCGGGACCGTCGGGTCGGGCGGGCGGACCCTAACGGGCGGGACAGACGGGCCGGTCGGGTCGGGCTGGCGGGACACTCAAGTGTGGGGCGCGCCGGAGCGAACATGCGTGAATCCTAACGAGCGGGTCGGGTCGGATGGGCGGACCCTAACGGGCGAGACGGGTCGGGTCGGGTCGGGCGGACCCTGACGGGCGGGTCGGGTCGGGCGGGCGGGGCACGAAAGTGTAGGGCGCGCTCGAGTGAGCACGCATGAACCCTAACGGGCGGGTCGGGTTGAGCGGGCGGACCCTAACGGGCGGGACGGGTTTGGTCGGGTCGGGCGGACCCTAACGGGCGAGTCGGGCTGGCGAGGCACTAAAGTGTGAGGCAGGCTCGAATGAGCACGCGTGAACCCAGTCGGGACGGATCGGGTCGGACGGGCGGACCCTATAGCGAGCGGGACCGGTCGGGGCGGGTCGGGCGGACCCTAACGGGCGGGTCGGGTCGGGCGGGCGGGACACTAAAATGTGGGGCGCGCCGGAGCGAGCACGCGCGAACCCTAACGGGCGGGTCGGGTCGGACGGGCGGACCCTAACGGGCGAGACGGGTCGGGTCGGGTCGGGCGGACCTTAACCCGTAGCCCATTGGGCGACAGTGGAGCGACCCAGGGCCCGGGCGGACCTTAACCATATGGCAGTGTCTCAGACTTCAGTCGTGGGGCGACCCAGGGGCCGGTGGCAATTTGGGCTCCGCAGTTGTGGGGCAGACCCTTGCGGCGAGGAATTATTACAGCGGCAAGTTGTGCTTCAGAGTCGTGGGGCGCCCCAGGGGCCAGTTGTAACAGGTGCTTCACAGTCGTGGGGCAGCCCTTCGGGCAAGTCTGTAGGGCATGGGATAGCTACAACAAAGCTTATCGATGTGCATCACAGTCGTGGGGCGACCCAGGTTCCAATTATAATCTGTGCTCCACAGTCGTGGGGCAACCCCTTGGAGCAGAAGGCGGGGGATGATGTAGCATAGTACAACTGCTACTTGTGCTTCGCAGTAGAGGGGCGACCCAGGGGCCAGGTACGACTTGTGCTTCACAGTCGTGGGGCGGCGCTTTGGGACGCAGGTTATAATCTATGTAATGGCTAATTGATAGCATAACTTAGAGCCAGAAATTATAGGCTAAGCTAACACTGATACTGAATTGTGTTTCACAGTCGAGGGGGCTGCTTTCTGGGCGTAGGCTTTAGGCACTGGGCAAAAATCGCACTTGTGCTTCACACTCGAGGGGCGACCCAGGGGCCCAGTGGAGCCTATGCTTCACAGTCGTGGGGCAGCCCTTTGGGCAGAAGGCCAAGGGAGATGCAGCACATTAAAGCTGCTACTAGTGCTACACAGACACTTGGGCGTCACAGTCGTAGGGTGTCCCAAGGGCCAGTTGTAAATTGTGCTTCACAGTCGTGGGGCAGCCCGTTGGGCAAAAGCTTAGAAGCTACGTTATAGCCGGAACTTGCGATTCTCATTAGTGAGGCGACCCAGGGGCCAGTTGTAAATTGTGCTTCACAGTCGTGGGGCAGCCCTTTGGGCAGACGCTTAGAGGCTATGCTTCGCCGATGCTGGTGCATCAGTCGGGGGGCGACCCAGGGGCCAATTTATAATTGTGCTTCACAGTCGTGGGGCAGATTTCTGGGCGAAGGACGTTCGGTACGCGGTAGTATAACAGTAGCTTATAACATGTGTGTATAGTTTCACAAGTATGCCCCAGGGCCTGCACGTCATCTACCACTTGCCCACATAAATAAACATCTTTGTTGGAAATTGTCTAACTCACAGAGTTCCCCAATCAGTGCTTGCACTGAGGGGCCCTGGCAGTCTCTGTACGACTAGGCTTGTGGGCCGATAGAGGTATCGGAGTCAATTGCCAGCAGTCCACTGAGGGGGGAACAAGCAGGCAGGGATTTGGGGATGCTTCACCGTAGGGGAGTGGCTCAAGCAACGATGGCTCCCCGCAGGGACCCGTCGCTATGCCCGCACTGTACCAACCCCAGGGAGAGGGACGACAAACGACGCCTGCTGGCTACTTGCGGGAAGCAGATGTGCATCCGTAGAGCACGGCAGCGCTTCATAGCCTCGGTCAACGGAAGGCTGGGAAAGGCGCGGAGGAGGCATGCTGCGCGCAAGAGGCCGGCGGCAGCCCGCGCGGAGGCAGCTGCAGCCGGGGGGGCAGCCAAGGCTTGTGCAGCCGTGTTGAGAGACCTTCCCAAACGAGGGGCAGCATTCCCGCCCAGAACAGCCATCCCGGGCGGGCTGCTGAGAAAGTGCATCCCCCCCACCTCCCACCTGAAGGCATTACTGCAGCGGGGGGGAAGCAGCGCGGCTTGAAACTTTCAAACTCCGCGTGGCCACCCGGGCCATCTCGCAGGAAGAGTGGGACAAAGTTGCTTGCAGTGGGCGTACTTTGACGCTCCTTTACAAAGGACTCCAGAACTCCGCGACAGAACAGTGGAACTCTGTGCTCAGTGTACGCGCGGCTGGGCGCTACGGGCAGGGCTGCTACTTTAGCGCGGAGCCCTTGGTAACCTTAGCATACACTCGCCCCACCAGGATAGCAGCGCTCACGAAACCGGATGGTGTTCCTCGGGTATTCTTAGTCTGCGTTGGTGATTTGGGCGTAGTCAGGATGGTGGGCCCGAAGAGGCCGGGCCCTTTTGCACCAGACCAGACTGCGGTTGCCTCGAGCCCTTCTGCCTGCGTGCCGGGCGTGGAGCTTGCCGTGCGGAGTCCCAGAACTAGGCGCTTGGTGGTTAGCGTCGCGTATGTCGACTTCCACAGTGGCGAGTTCGCGCACTTAGCTCCCAACAGCAAGTGTATCAAGGGAGAGGCAGGCAGCTGAGAATGCCCCCGCGGTCCCGGCCACGCGCCCCAGGTGGCAAGGCATGCCAGGCTGGCGCCAGTAACCAGCTACAGAGGAGACAGAGCAGCTTGCATCCGAGCAGCAGCCAAAACATCCTCGCGATGTCTCATGTCCGGCCCCCCTTCATGCCCCAGCGTGTACCATTTGATAGGCTGGCCCCTCGCGAAGGTCCAGGTTTCGATATCGCCCAGCCGGACACCGTGCAACTGAGGGAGAGGGCAGGTGCAAACATATTAGGCCTCTGGGAGGCTTCTTGGGGGAGAAGAGTGAAAATCTGGATCTTCAGAAGCCTAGGAGGCCAGCCTATTTTTGGTCACGAGACTTCGCTCGGCACGTCACAATATTGGGGCGGGAGGGCGCACGCGAGATTACATACCATTGAAAAGGGTGCTTACCCAGCCCCATTAAATTCATGCGTCTTCGTAGGGCACAAAAGCAGTAACACTTTACCCGTGTCCTATTTGTACAGCCTCGACTATCCTCCTCCTCCTCCTGCTACTCCTCCTCCTCCTCCTCCTCCTCCTCCTCCTCCTCCTCTTATTGCCGTGCTTAACAAGCGCATTGGCTGGGAGCGCTTGAAGTCAGATTTTTCCCGCCTGCGCGCAGGACGGCGTATGGTTAGTGCAGTGCACTGCTTGCTGCTACAATGTTATATTAAAGACAAGTGTCCTGAGCATCGTTTCTGGGTGACTTGGTGGAGATACGCGATGCGTCATGAATTTAACTCCCTCACGCTGCCGAGATGCGCAGTGCTCATCTTCCGATAGAGCTCCTTGACCGCAGTGCGATCGGCACTGTTCGTGAATGACTTGGTCTGAATCAGACCGTCAAAAGCTTGAGGGCCCACTGGCCAACATCTACCCACTGCCTTGACGCTGCATGTGCTACTGCCAAGGTCCAACACGGAATCCCACTTTGCAACCAATCGGTTGCCCGTTTTGATTTGCTCGGCCGAGCAACGCTCGTAGGTGGCCCAACCCGACTCCTCATAGCCCTGCTCCCGCTGGCTGCCCCTCTCGCGCGGGTGCTGCGTGACGAGGAGCACCGTGGTGCCCTGGTGGGCATACCAAAGGTCCATCGTCTGGTGCAGGGCGTAGCCGAAAGCCGCCTTCTCACTGGGCGTGCGCTCTGCATCTGACGCGGCTGCCACGGCCTCCTGCTCGGTCTTGTGCTCCGCGAGCGCAGCCTGCCTCGCCGCAATGGACCTTTGGGTGTTTCCTTGAAGCAGCGACGGCCAGTCCCAGAATACCCCCATTTCGCTGAAACCTCCAAACAGAAACCACCGCTGACAATATTTCGTGCGCTCAGACTTGAGCGTGTCCACGATCATTTTCAACTGCCTTCCGGTGGGATCAGGGTGTTCCCGTGTGTCCCAACAGGCAGAGACTGCCACGATGGGAAGGGCCCGGTCAGGTCCTCCACGCCTACCGTCTTCCCACACGTCCCGTAGCTCTTCAGCTGACACGAACGCATTATCGGGGAGCTCCTGGCGCCGTTTCAACACATTCTCCTCCATCTGCAGCAGCCAAGACATGCGTAGCAAGCGTACTGGATGGTGCCCTTCAACTGTTTTCGCGAGAGCGTCAAACACGCTCTCGGCATCGGTATACCGGGCGCGGTCCACGTCCTGTTGGTGCGGCTCCTGAAACACGATGTGGAGAGTCACTGGGAATGCATCCTCAGAAAAACGGGCTGCCAAATTCCAGCCGAGACGATCCAATATACACCCGCCTGACCAAACCATGTCTTCACCTCCCGTCTTGTTTCCGCGGCTGTCCATCACCCACGACTTCTCCCTCGCCATCTCGAAGAGGCCCGAGTCTGCGCTGAGGAAGGGCCGCTCCAGGCGCCGCCTGAGCTCTGCCTGGATCCGCAGGTCATGGCTCCTCAGGGCCTCCGCGCTGTCGAATGCAAGGTCGAGCGCGACGCCCTGGGGCTCCTGGCCGGCAGATGCGCCCCCTCCTCCACCGTTGAGGCCCGCCCGCCCGTTCGGCTCGGAGGGGGAAATGTCAGGGGGGGAGCCAGCGAAACGTCTGAGGGGGAACGCCAGGGGGGGTGGGAGAGCCAGGGGGAAACTCTGAGGGGGAACGTCTGGAATCGGCGATGCATCGCCGACGGATCGGCGATAGGCCCCCGACAGCAAATCCGCACCTTCCTGGGCGAGGTGGACTACCGGGCCCCTATCGGCGATGAGTGTCCTCCCTGAGCTTACGGTCAGGAATTCGTGCGTTGTGCGTCGTGGCGGCAGCGCCAGCGACACGCTATGCATAGCAATCTGTTGGTGTATCGCTCTGCTTCCTTGTGCCGGAGGCTGGATAAAGCTCGGGACGCTAATGCCTGAGGACTGTGACGAGCTTAGCTTGTCGCGTTGTTGCCTGGGGACTGACACTGTGACGAGCTTGGCGTGCCGCGCCGAAGCGTGGTGGACTAGAACTGACGGTGCGACACGCTGAGCAAACGTGCCTGACCGTAAACCCAAGCTCTCGCCGTTCTGTGTTTTGTTCATGGTTTCGACCCCCATGAGGGTCGACGCCATTCCCCGGGGCCGGGTTTTCTTCCTCATTCGTTGTTCGACGGTCCCTGGGCCCAACGAGGGCCCCGAGAGGCCGAAGGTAACAAAACACCGTCCGTCATGACCCTCTCACGACGCGAGGGGGTCTGGGCACGCACGCCGATGCTGGGCCCAGCTCCGAACCTCCCAGCACTGCCCCCGAGCCTCGCCGCCCCCGGGGCTGGGACCCGTCGCCGGTGCTCGCCCTCCCGCTCGCCCCGTGGCCGCGCGCCTCGGGCCACGGGCACCTGCCCGCCGCCCGCCCGCGGGCGGGTGCGGGTGCTGCCAGGAGCGCCACCAAAGTGGGGAGCGGGGGAGCCAAGAGGTACAGATCCCGCTGCAATCTTTTGTCGCATGATGAGGACGCGGGATCTGACAATGCAAGTGCCTTGGAAGGCCATGCTGACACTCTGCGAGCGGGGCGCGGGCAGCGAAAGCGGTCAAGGATGGGCCGAGGGGGAAGGATGCAAGGGCAATCTTGGAAAATTGCTCATCCTGGCATCTTTACTATGCGGGTTGACTGTGCTCCCCGGATCTCTCCCAGGGTGCGTTCTGACCAGGATTTCGAGGCGAATCCAGCGGTGGCGACAATGGCATACAAACGTACCCCTCCAGAGGTCCGCGCGGATTTCTTGGATCGGCGCTGACCCCCCGCACGCCAGGGGCGTCCAGCGCCGATCCAAGGAATCCGCGCGGCGCTCCGGAACTCTCTGTCGTTGCCGTGCTTTCCTTTTCGAGCAGACGCGGGCGTCGAAGACGACGAGGACGAGGACGACGCCCCCGATGCCGGATGTCCTCGAGCGGCGGGCCGCCCGAGGCCGCCTCCCGAGCCGCCCGCCCCGCGGCGCCCGCGGAGGCCCGCGGAGGGGCGCCCGCGGCGGCCCGCGCGGGCGCCCGGGGCGGCGGCTCGTCGCTGGGCGGCGCGGCGCAGGCGGCCCCCATGGGCTGAGGGGCAGCGAGGAGGGGGGGGGAGCAGCCTCCCAGGCGGGGGGGGCAGGGGTCGCCCCAGGCCGTGTGCTTCGTGCTCGCTCTGGCTCCGTCTTCCCAAGGCTTTGTCTTCCATCCGCCTTCTGCTGCAAAACGAAGCCCCACGCAATCGCGAGAGCAGCGTTGATGTCGCGCCCGGCAGGGGGGGAAACGTCGACCTGGAAGGTGCAATGCATCGCCGACGCATCGGCGAGAGGCTCCTGAGAGCGAGTCCGCACGGCCCTGGGCGGGGGTGGGGCTATCGGGCCCCTATCCTATCGGCGATGAATGGGCGATCGGGGGTCGATGCGTCCCCCACCCGGGGCCTACTCCCTATTGTTTCGGGGGTGGACAGAACCCCCAACAGTGACACGTCGATTAGTGAATTGTCCGTTTTCGGTTCTCGAGAGGGCGCCGCGGCCGTTATTTTCCAGGCTTGCGCCCGCTAGGTTTGGGCCTCAGGTCGTTTTCACTAAACCACGTTTTACTAAAGGGGGGTCTGTCCATCCCCGATCGTTGCCCCTGATGGGCTGTGCGCGCGGCAAGGGGGGGGCCGCGAGGGCGCGGCGTGCCTCTTGGTAGCGACCTGGCAGGCGGAGGGTGCCACGCCATGCGTGCTCGCGTCGCGAACAGCACACGGGCCCCTGGGGGTCCTGACCGAGCCCCAGGACCGGCAAGAACGACTCGAGATGATAAGCCGTTCCTGGCTTGGGGATCCCAAGGCGGTGTTGCCACAGACCGTGCGGTTACCTCGGAACGACCTCACGGCACGGTCCGTCACCCGCACGATCTTGGGACTGTAGAGGCCCCAAATCGCCCGAGACGTCCTTGAATAGCGACCCGAATCACAAAACCGTGCGGTGATCCCGAATCCCCACTGACTCACCACACGGTATGGTCACCGCACCGTTTGGGGGCCTCAAACAGGCGCAGGGGTCGAGACTTCCGGAGAACGTGTTTTGAACAAATCAAGACATCGCATGTCTAGGACGGGGGGAGAGACGTCGTCCACACGCATTGAATGACACTGGGCAAGGGTGACCTTTGGTGCGCGGCTTTTGAGGGCCGCGGGTGGGCTAAATCCAAGTGCGCAGACTAGTGCTTTGGTGAGCCCTGTTAGCCCGCATCAAGGGTCACTCTGGCGAAGGGTCACCCTCACGCGTAGCCGAAGCACGGGGTGAGAGGTGCGTGCCGGCGTGGACGGCGGTCGGGGAGATCCTGAGCCAAGGAAGATAATGATGATGATGATGATGATGATGATGATGATGATGATGATGATGATGATGCTGCTGCTGCTGCTGCTGCTGCTGATGATGATGATGATGATGATGATGATTCGTATTATTATGATGATGATGCTGATGCTGCTGCTGATGATGATGCTGATGCTGATGCTGATAAATGCTGATGCTGGTGCTGATACTGATGCTGATGCTGATGATGCTGATACTGATGCTGATGATGATGCTGCTGATGATGATGACGATGATGCTGATAGTGGTGGTGGTGGTGGTGGTGATGATGATGATGATGATGATGATGATGATGACGATGCTGCTGATGATGATGATGCTGATGCTGATGCTGATGCTGATGCTGATGATGATGATGATGAAGAAAAGAGAAAATAAGGATGCGTAATGAGGGAGGCGGAGGCGGATAAGGCCGCGCTCCCCCCCGAAGGAGTAGGACTTCGAGAGGAGATTCTTTATGTTTCCCGCCATTTGGGGACCTCATGAACCGCCCTCGTGGCCACGACTGGATTCCTCTTTCGAGACTTTGGCCAGAACACCACCCAGGACAGGTGAAGGGGGTGATCTCGAGGCGTGGGCCCCGACCTATACTGCCTTGACGAAACGAAGCGCATCGAATTCACGCGATTCCAGCTCGCTGCTGGGACATCAAGCATAGCCCTGGGAGGAGGTCGAGAGCTCTGGGGGTCTGCGTACACGTAGGCACAAGCAGGATTTACGCGCAAGGCCCAGATGGGGAGGGGGCGAGGGCTCCAGGATCGAGGCTTTCGCCTCCCCCCTGCCTCCCCTCCGGCAAAGAGTGGCCCCCATGCGCTGACGCGGGCAGCGGGAAGCCCACCGGAGGCTCCAGGCGGGGGGGGGCCACCACCGGAGGCCCCAGCTAGAGGGAGCCCCAGCGGGTACCCCGGAGACTCCAGGCCAGTCCTGGCACCCGCGGCCTTGCACGCCCGCGCGCCTCGACGCCCTGGCCATCCGCCCCAACCGTGGCGAGAGCTTGTCTGCCCGCCCTCGCCGACCCCCCCCCATCTTGAGACGAAGCTGGCACCGGGATAAGCAGGTGGGCCGGGACAGAGAAGGTATCTCTGAGATCCGGCGGCTCTTGGGGACGTCTCGGGCGCCGCGGCCGTTCCAGGGCGCTCCCGAGCGCTTTGAGGACGTCCAGGGACGACTTGTCCTGGTCCTAGTCCCTGGTCCCTCCCGACCTCTCTCGCTGGGCGGAAGCGAATAGGAACGAAAGGGGGGTCCTGGCACAGGGGGGGAAACGGAGACCTGGAAGCGGCGATGCGTCGCCGATAGATCGGCGACAGGCCCCCGATAGCGAAACCGTGCGCTCCTGGGCGGGGTGGGTTCTGGGGCCCTCTTCGTCGATCAATGGGTGATCCATGCGTCCTCCCCATGCAGAGCCTGTCCGCCCCCCCCCCCCCCCTTCACGTTGCCCCTGACCCCCCCCCCCCTCGGCTTGGCGGCCAGGAAGAGGGAAACGGGTCCTGGACCCTGGCGGCCTTCCCCCCGGGACCAGCTTGTCATCCCGAACCGTTTTCTGACCGTCCTGGGGCCTTCGGAGGGCCCCGGGAAGCCAAAAACAGTGAAACACCTCATGACCCGCTTCTCTCAGGACCAATGTCCTGCACGGCGAGGGGAGAGCGAGCGCGAGGGCCAGCCGGTCCAAAGACGAGGGTGCGGGGAAGAGGTCGGTCGGTCTGCGGGTGGCCAGCCCACGAGCCCAGCAAAGCGAGGTTGCGTCGGAGCGGCACGGAACACAGTGTTGCCGTGAGTGCATGGGCGGGGGCGACAATCGGCGGCGAGCGGGGGGGGGAAGTGAGACAGAGAAGGCCTTCTCAGAAGGCGACGGGACTTCTCAGGAGCCCTCGCGCATTCTGAGAAATGTTCTGTGTCTTCGGGGAGAGGCGCATAAAGCTTTTTCAGAAGGCCGGGGGACTTCCGAGCCTTCTGAGAAGGACCGCCCCTTCTCACTTCCCCCCGGGCTCGCCGCCGAGACGGCGCGCCGATGCTGGGAGCAGCGGCGACGGAGGTGCGGAGCAGGGGGAGCGTCGGGTCGGACGAGGGTCTGGTCGGGCGAGACAGGCGTGTCGGCAAAGGGCGGGGTGCCCACGCGGCTGCTTTCCGGAGGCGCTTTGCAACGCGGGAGGCGCCCGGCGGCAGGAAGAGAGGCGCCCGGTGGCGCGGCCGAGGCCAGCCGCATGCAGCAGATGTCACATGTCTGTGGCGCCAGGGCGCGGCAGAGGCACTCCGCACGCGCGTCTGGACGAGACCGGGACACGGCGACCCGCATGCAAGACGAGGGGAGGGAGGCGAAAGGGCGGCCGCGGAGGGGAGGAGCCAGGCGCTGGGGCGCTCTTCCTTGGCGGGGCTGCGGCGAGCGCGCGGGGGCGGCCGGGCTGACGGGCAGCCCCTGGCAGCTGTCGCGGGGCGGCATCGCGATGCACCGCAGATTTTGTGCCCCCCCTCCCTTGTTTGGCAATCCCAGCCTTTCGTCCGACCTGCGAGGGGAGGTCATGTAGGATGACAGTTCGGAAAAACAGTATATGGGCCCTGCCGCCGGGAAAGGGGAAGGCTAACAAAGAACCTCGCTGACGGCGACGCCCTCGAGCAGGCCTGGAACGGAATTGATACATCATCGCCCAGAACGCTGCCGCCGAACGGCCCCCGGGGCATTTCTGCATCGTCAACCTACCACCCACATTCGTGCAGCTGGTTTTCCCGCCGCCTCCTGGCGCCGGAGGCGACCCTGCATCGAGAGGAGTGCCCAGCGGCAGGGCCGAAGCCAACTGCACGCAGCCGATTTCTTTGCAACCCTTCCTCTCCCCATCACCTCCCCTTTTTTCGATGGATCCCGACAAATAGCTCGCATACCCACGTGCATGAATTTGCCCACCAATTAGCGAGGCCGTCCTCATGTCGCGAACGCTCGCGCAACGCGCTCGCTCGAACTCCCATGTGAAACTGTGCGCGCGTGCGTCTTCGCTTCGCTCCCGCCTTTCGCCCGACCCGAAGGATGGCGCCTGAAGGGCGGCAGCGACAATGAGGGTACGGAGCAAAGGGAGCGTCGACGAACCTGGCTTTCCATCGCGGGCCGCTTTCCAGATGGCCCTCGGAACCAGAAGCGGCTCAAAAGTGCACGATTGGCAGCAGCAAGCCGCGATCCTGGACCGGAGCCCAGGAAAAGCTGCCCGTCGTGATTATTTGTTCGGCGCTCGGAGGTCGGGGATGGTGACGGGGCGAGAATGACCCTTGGCAGGCGTGACCTTTTGTGCGCGGTTTCTGAGGAGCCAAGCCCAAGCGCGCAAGCCACTGCTATCGCCTATCCTGTCGCATTCGGTGATCGGGGGACCGCAGTGGGCCTGCACCGGGAGCCACCCCGGCGAAGGTCACTCTTGCGCGTGGCCGATCTAGGCTGCGACGAAGGCAAGGGCGAGCGCCTAATTTTACCTCGCCGCTGCCAGCCAAGGCCGTCACGCGGCAGGCCACATGGCGGCGCGCAAGGAGGGGCCAGGTCGAGAAGGGCCAGGCCGGGCCGGCCTTGTGACAGGGCCGGGTGCTTCAAAAAGGCCACCGAAAAGGCTTCTGAGCAGGCCGCCCCCCCACGAAGGAGCCCCCTGCCTTCCTGGAAGGCCGCCCCCCTCGCACAAATGCCCAAACCCGCTCACAGCCGGTCCGCGGGCTACTCCTGGAGTCTACACCGGAAAGCCTTATGTAGGAGAAACAAAGAAGGGCATAAACGTAAACTTTCGACGGTCCGTGCGGATTTCTTGGATCTGCGTCCCTGGCGCGCAGAGCGTGCCAGGGGCTGCGCCAGAGGAGCCACCAGGCGGGCCTGGCGCGGATCCGAGAAATCCGCGCGGACCGTCTGAAGTTTATGCTTATGCCTGTTTTCTTCGACGTATGCAGTAAGCTTCAGTCTAAGAAGCCGAGTCTCGTGTTCTTTACTTGTGTCCACGGCGGGAAACCCTCATAACAAAACAACGTGTGTAAGTGTGTACGTGCAGAGAGCATACAACATGTTTTTCGTCGGTGCCGTTCTCCACAGCCTACCCTGGAATCCTGATGTCCGCCACCGTGCCTCTGGCACGAAGTAGAGTGCCTGAAGGCTCACAGCTGTGCTGCTGCAGCCAGGACTGTGCTCACAGCTGTGCTGCTGCTGCAGCCAACATTGTAACTTTTTAGGGGCCTGGGCCACCAATTTACGGGGCGCTCTTCGCCCTCCCAGGTGTTCCGCATGCCCATCAGGACGGCTGCAACGCCCCAAACGACCCGCAGACTTTCGCGGAGCTCCCCACCGAGCCCCCAAGACGGCCCAAGATAGCCCCCAGACGGCCCAAGAGGCCTCCCAAGAGGGCCCCAAGAAGCACACATCATAGTTTTTCCATTGGTTTTTGGAGGTTTTTGGGGTACTCGCGTTTTCGGCTTCCCGACGCTCAAAGGGGGCCCAAGAGGCCCCTAAGATCGCCCCAAGAGGCCCCCAGGACGGCTACAAGACAGCCCAAGGGGGCCCCGAGACGCTCCAAAAAGCCCCCAAGAAGACTGCACAAGAGGCCCACATGACGGCTGCCACAGGGGGCCCAAACAGGGCCCCCTAACAGACATGTCGAGCCCGCGGCCCCAAGAAGCCCCATGGAGGCCCCAAGCGGCCCCCCAAGAGGTCCCCAAGAGGCCCCAGAAGGCCCCCAAGAGACCTCCAAGCGGCCTCCCGAGAGGGCCTCAAGAGGCAAACATCCCAACGCACAACCTAGAGGCCTATGACCCACACCCCAGGCATCCCTGTCGAAAGCAATTCAATATGCGTATGGACTTACAATCCGCCGCACCCTGTCGATTCATCGCAGGGGTGCATGGCGTGCTGGAATTGTTACGGTTTGGTTGTGGTTCTTTCTCCAAAAGAACTCCCCCTGGCGCTTCGGCCCGTCCCGCCGGGGTCCCGGGAGGGAGCTCCAGGCGCGCAAACGACCTCAACGTCCACAAACAATTTTCCAAGACGGCTCAAGATGGCCTCTAAGATGCCTCCAAGACGGCCAAGATGGCCCCAAGATGCCTCCTAGACGGCCCAAGATTCCCAAGATGCACTCAAGACAGCCCAGGATAGCCTCAAGATGGCCCAAGACGGTCGAAGAGGGCCCAAAATCGTTGATTTCCCATTGGTTTTTGAAGGATTTTGGCATTCGCTTCTTCTCGGCTTGTCGACGACCCAGGACGGTCCGAAAGGCCCCCGAGATCGCCCCCACAGCGCCCAAGAGGCCTCCAAGATGGCCTCAGGACTGCTTATAAGAGGCCCCCAAGACGGCCCCAAGAGGGCACAAAGACGACCCAAGAGGCCCCCAAGATGCCCAAGATGGCCTCAGGGCCCCAAGTCGGCCCAGAAAGGCCCCCCCAACGGCTTCCGACGGCGTCAGACGGGCCAGGGGCCCACCAGGATGGCCGAAGTTGGCTCGAAGCTGGCCCAAGAGGCCTCCAAGAGGGCCTCCAGGAAGGCCAGAAAAAGCCAACAACAATGCTTTTCCATAGGTTGTCGAAGGATCTTGACATCTGCGTCTTTTCGGCCTTCCGACGGCCCGATACGGCCCACGAGCCCCCAAAGATCACGCGAAGATCGCCCAAGATGCCTCCAAGATGGCCCCAGAACGGCCCAAGAGGCCCCCAAGACGGCCCCAAGAGGCTTCCAAGACGGCCCAAGAGGCGTTTACGGCCCTGGAGCATTCCAAGAGGGCCCCAAATCGGCTCAGAGAGGCCCCCCAAACGGCTTCCGACGGCGTCGGACGGGCCAGGGGCCCACCAAGACGGCCGAAGATGGCACTAAGATGGCCCAGGCCCAAGACGGCCCAAGGTGCCTCCAAGAGGGCCTCCAGGAGGGCCCGAAAAGGCCAACATCATTGATTTACCATGAGTCTTTGAAGGATTGTGGCAGTTGCTTTGTTTTGGCTTCCGACGGCCCGCGACGGCCCAAATGCCCCCAAAGATCGCCCAAAAGGCCCAAGACGGCCCCAAGAGGTCCCCAAGACGCTCAAGATGGCCTCCAAGACGGCCCAAGAGCCCTCCAAGACGTCCTCCAAGAAGGCCCGAGAGGGTCAAAATGGCCTCCAGACGGCCAAGATAACCTTCAAGATGCCCACGTGCTCCCCGAAGGCTTTCCAAACCGATTCGGGGAACACATGGTCCGATAGCTTGGCAGGTCTGGCCTCAACGTTCGGCCACCTAGGCGCTTCCAGAAAGGCAGGGGGCGGCAGTGAGCCGCCGTAGGCGTCTTCGATGCTATAGGCAAAGAAGACTCGGACTCTGATCTGGAAGCTGCGTCTCCCTAATACACCCTGCGAAATGCTTAAGAAATCATGGGTTCAGAAATTCAGAGTCTCAGAACTTGAATAAAAACCCAGAACTTCTAAACATTAAGAATAATCGAGACTCTGGCCGAAACCTTACGTTTTCTTAAGCATCGCCTAAGGTGTACATCGTGAGGGTCTATCGTGGCCAGCGCTGCGAGCCGCGCCCAGCCGTGCCGGCGACGGGGCCCCCCCGAAGGGCCCGAGATGGCGAGAGCGGGCGAGGGCGGGGCCCGGCCACCTCGGGCCCGCCGCCCGGCAATGATCCTCTGAGCGCGTGGTGGTGCCCACTTCCCGCGGTGAGTGCCCTAAGCTCCCCCGCCGGCTTTCTGCGGCCGCCCCCTCCTCGCGCCATGGGGGAAGCGGGTCCCGAGGGCAACGGGCCCTGAATTGTCTCGCCCTTTTTTTGGCCTCCTGGGGCCCTCCATGTGCCCTGGGCCTTTTCGAAAACGACTCAGGATGAAGATCTCGTCCCAGCGGAAGGCCCCCAGGTTCAGGACCGATGCCCTCAGGGCCCGTTTCCCCCTATGCTAATCTTCCTCCTTCCACCTCTTGCTGCCGGTTACTTCGTACGCCACGCGATCACGGCCCCTAGAGCGCGCGAGCGGATCGCCTCTGCCGCGCTGCGACGAACAAGTGTTGGTGCCAACGTATGCGTGTCGACCGGCGGTGCTACGTTCGAGACTTTGGGACAGCATGGCGCTCCGCCGGTTCTGGCCCACCATGCTTCGGCGCGACGGGCTGTTCACGTCCCAGTCCCCGAGCGTCAACGTCTCGAGCCTTTCCCGACCTCCCGCCTCGCGGAGCGGAGAGACACGTTGCAGTCATGGCACTGCCAGAAGGACCGCTAAATAAGGAACGAAACCCATTTTCAGCCCCAGAAGCGCCTAGGTGGACTAAAAGAGCTAGAGGAACAACCACGGAATGACCGAAGGAACAGCGACCCCCCCCGCACCCGAGGCAGTCCTCAGTTCAGCATCTTGTCTGCATCTGCTCGCAAGGCATAGATGTGTGGCTGGTGGCCGCTTCATAGGCGTCACGCAAGAGTGACCCCAGGCGAGAGTGACATTTGGTGCGCGGCTTTCGGGGGTCGGGGGGGGGGGGCGTGGGGGGCCAGGTCCGAGCGCGCAGGCCGCTGCACTCGCAGCGCGTTCGGCACTCCGGCGATGGGTCACTCTTTTACGTAGTGCCGACCTCAGTGCGACGCATGCGGTGCGTTGAGGACCAGCACGGGCTGCGTGCTACCTGGCGGAGCTGAACGGGGTGAACACACATGAACGACTGAAAGGAACGGGTCTTGCGCGAGATGGGGAAGAGCGACCTTGCGCGGAGGCTTGCGCGGGCCGCCAGCGCGTGAAGAAGAGGGCGATTACGCGCGACCTTGCGCGGACAGCTTACGCGCCAATGTCGGTGAAGACGACCCCGCTTTCTGCGTCGCGCACATTGGCCCAAAGCACGTCCCGAGGATCATCGCGCCAAGAAGGGTGAGCACCGATCTTCATTCGACATGAAGCAATCGGGTCCTGACAAAAGCGGGTCCTGGCCCTGGGGGCCTCCCCCCGGGACCAGCTCTTCATCCGAAACTGTCTTCTCACACATGTGGGGCCCGGGGAGGGCCCCCAGAGCCCGCAAACGCGGAGAAGAAACAACTCAACATAACAACATGGCTTGGAGGTCCGCGCGGATTCCGCGCGGATCTCTGAGAAATGATGCATGCCGTTCGTTCTTCTTCGAAGCCCGTTTCCCTCAGGACCCGTTCGCTTCATGGCGGCTTCATCTGTCCCTCGGCCGGCGACTCCGAAGAGTGTGGTCTTCAAAGGGTGTGGCTTGCAACGCGCACCCTTGGAGGCGGGAGAGGACCTCGACAGAGTTCTCCGCCGCGCCCCGAGGAGGCCCGACGAGGGCAAGCTCCGCCACGGCCGCGAGACCACCAGATGCGAGAGGCTTCCAGCTGGGCGCGCCCTGGCACAACGAGGCCGGCACATCGCGGCACCGCGCGGACAATGCTCTTCCACAGCGTGCGTACACAGACAACGAGCAGAAGAATGCGGATTCCTCTCCCCCGTGGCAGGCGAGTGCCAGGAACTGGCGGTCGTCTTGGAGCTGGAGCTCGGGCAACTGGCACGGTGACAACAGCTGAAGCCGCGACGACTACAGTTCGGGTTGAGAGGAAGAGAACGAGGGAGGATCTGCGGCTATGCCGCAGGTGCCTCCTCGAGGCGATCAATGGCGGTTCGTGGCGCTCACAAGCCCCAACGACGCAGATCGCTAACTACACCCCAGCATAACCTGAATTAGCATCAGGGAGACAGGCCCTGGACCCTGGGGCCTTCCCCCAAGACCAGTCCTTCATCCCCAGTCGTTCTCTGACAGTCCTGGGGCCCTGGGGGGCCCGGTGGAGCCCGAAGACGGTGACAAGCCTCAGGAACCGTCTCCCTCAAGATCCGTTTCCCCCACGGCGAATCGACAACCACACCCTGGCGCAACTGGGGAAACCAAGAGATAATCACCGATACCGCTGCTCCCTGGACCTCGCTGGGGGCTTGCTCTGACCAGAATTTCGAAGCGAATCCAGCAGTGGCGACGAGGACCTCCCAGGAGGCCCCAAGAAGGGGGAACGGGGGAGGAGTAACGGTATGGGTATCTTTTCCTCCTCGGAGTAACCACGCCCGCCGATCTCCGCCGCCGGCCGCCGGCCCTGTCACGCGGCACGGCCCGTGGCTGCGCGGCGTCCGCTCACGGGCCGCCCGTGGGAGCGCAGCGCCTGCGCGGCGAGGGCTCGACGCTCGGGGCCGCGCGGGCGGGCGCCGCGGGGCGGGGCGACCTCGCCTGGTAGCGGCGCGCGCGCCGAGCCCAGACATCCGGCGCCTCGAGAAATTCGAGGCGGGTGCTGTTTCTTCGTTTCCGGTGGGGCCCCGGGGCCGTCCGCCAACGGGACTGCGCGGGAGGGAAAGCTGGTCCCGGGGAAGTGGTCGAGAGGTCGGGGGCCCCTGCCTCGAAGAGGCTGCATTTTGTTGGGGGGCAGGGGCGGCGAGCGCCGAGACTGAGCTCATGTGGCATCGTCGGGGGACCTTGTCTGTCCCATGGCCCTGTGATCCGCGGCGGATCCGTGTCGAACCCACGTCGGACATTGACTTCTTGTCGAATACATGTCGAACCAACGTCGAGTTCACGTCGAAACAACGGCGAATCCACCTCGAACCAGCGCCTGGCACAAGAACAGACAGCAGCGTGCCGGGCAGACAAGACCCCCCGAGCATGCAGCGTAACTGACCCTGGCCGCCGCCGCACAAGGCCGTCCCCTGAGATATGGGCGACTTAACTTTTTTGTCACGCCAGGCGCCTGCGCCCGGTGTCGGGCGAGCCGCTGGGTCGATCGAGCGAACTCGTGCGTCTCGCCCTGCACACTCAGACCAAGAGGAAGCACGAGCCCAATTTTTCCATTGGCTCTTACTGCACCCCGCTGGTCCTGGATCGAAAGGGCTGAATGTTGGAGAATCACGAGTTCATCATTCAATTTCAGCACCCTGGAAGTCTTGCCCTCGACCCACGAGGATCGAGGATGGAGAGGGAGGTCCCTGGACGTTTCCAGGCAAGGTTCTGAACATGCTTGGTCCTGTTGGGACATTTGGAGGCCGCTGGGGGCGTCGGGGGGTGAGGATCCGTAGCAGAAGCAACACTTACCCCTGTCTCCCTTCCGCCCGTCGTCTCGTCTTACGCCTCTCCTCCCTCGCCTTCCACAAACTCTGCGCGGCGTCGGGGGAGGCGAGGATCCGGAGCGGAAGCAACACTTACCACTGTCTCCCTCCTGCCCTTCTTCTCCTCCTTCGCCTCTCCTCTTCCCTCCTTCCCTGTACTCTGCGTGAGTAGCATCGGGGGATCATCTCCGCTGCCGTCTTTCCCCCACTCCCCCCTCCTTCCCATCCGTCTCTCCCGTTCTCACTCCAATCACCCTTCATTCCCTCTCCCCCATGAGGTTGGCATGAAGGGCGTGGCTTCTGAGTATGCTCTAGGCATATGTACTCTTAACCTTCCAAAATTGGTCGGTCGTCCTATCGGCTTAGGAAAGTTCGGGTTGATCGCACAGAGCTTTGGGTATATCTCTGATTGTGCGTATGACCATCGCTGCTGGCTGATAAAGATGTGGCATTAAACCAAAGTTCGCGGTATCTGGGTTTCAGCAATACGAGCGCATAGGTGCTCTTGAACCACGTGTTCAAAGCATGACAATCTCCTCTTACCCTTCACAACTCTTATCCCCCCCCCCCTTCCACCTCTGCCTCCTCCTTCTTCCCCCCCCCCCGGATCCACTTTTCCTTCCCCTCTTGCACCTCCCTCTCGTCCACCCCGCCCCCTTTTCCTCTCCTGCTCCTCACCGGTGGGGGGGGGGCTCCACCCTCTCGCTGCTGGTGGCACGCGGCTCGCGGCGCTCTCCTCTTGGGCTCCCCGCCCCCCCCCCCATTCCCTTCCCGTCGCCACGTCTTGCTGCCCGCCCCTTCCCCCCCCCCCCCCCCCGCGGCCTGGGTGAAGCACTGCTACGGCAGGTATGTGTCGTGTCAACCCTGGCGTTGGTTCCTGACACAGCGCGGATCGTTCAACCTTGAACGATCCGCCGTTTCTGGAACGTCCGATCGTTCAACATCGACCGATTCTGGGTCGCTGGCGGCGTTCAACGTTGAGCGCTGGCGGCGGGGTCGCCGCCGGTCGACACGACGCGAACTTACCGTATGATAGTTTATATTTCCCATAGCGCTTTGCGGCACCCGTCCAGTCTTACTGGTGGCAGTTGTGCGTGTTGAAGCATCATCATCCTTCTTATGTTTCCCTTCCCTCCCCTCCTCCTCCTCGCACTCCCCCTACTCCTCCTCCTCCTTCGCCTCCTCCTCCTCATCCTCCTCCTCCTCATGATGATCGCCCTCCCTCCCGCTCATCCTTTTCTCGCCTCCTCCTCCTCCTCCTCCTCCTCCTCCTCCTCCTCCTCCTCCTCCTCCTAATGGTCATCACCCCCTCCAGCTTGTCCACCTCTCGCCTCCTCGGCCTCCTCCTCCTCTTCCTCCCTCCTCCTCCGCCTCCAATTCCCCCCCCCCTAGTCCGTCAGTTTCTCCCCGTCCCCTCTTACGTTCACTCTTCCCCCCCTCCCCCTTTAACTGCTCTTGCTCCTCTCCTCCTGCTCTTCCTGCAACTGCTGCTCCTGATCCTGAACCGAACTTTCGCGCTGGAACACGGAAGTCCTGTAGTGTTGGATCCAATCGCCCGAATGGGGAACCTTCTGCCAAGCAAGTTTGGCGGTAACCGGATGATGAGGAGAACGGCGAGCAAGGAAGGAGACGGGACACATGTTGGAAGACTCGCGCCCAGCGTTTTTGACCGCAGCCCCGACGGCCTGTCTTTGCAACACCGCGCCGCCTACTTCTGCGGGAAGTACCCCGACACATTCTTCGCCTGGGACCAGAAGGCCAAGGAGGCGACTGGGTGTGATCTGCCACTGTCGTCTATGCCCGATCTCTGCCTAACACTGCCCCGTCTGCGTGATTCTTCCCAATCCCCGTCCTGCCCCTCGCGGCCCTTTTGTCCTAGCAGCATGGCCTCCCCATTGCTATGTGTAAGCGCATCCCACGGCCAGAATGACATGTTTACGCACACGCGTGCGACTGCACGCTACCAACGGGAAGAGCAGCCATGCACGCACTCCTGCCTTACTCAAGATCACACCACCTCCCCTCCACAAGCTCACAACTCCTCCTCCGCCCCCCAAACGTTCTCAAACATGAGTGTGTGTTCTCGGAGAAGGTCCACTGGCAACCGTCACCTCGGTGTCGCAACGGCATAACGCTAACACCTTCAAGTGGCAACGCATCGGCGGTACCCTCGGCTGTTATGCAGGACAGCGCAATGGACCACGTGCAAATACCCTGGCGACTGCCAATTCGTGTGTTTTCCACGCGACAAGATTTCCCAGGACACTTGCGTGAACCGTTGGATCTGGTTATCGCCAAGAGAACTACGCAGGGGTCGGATCGCCGTCGCACGAACGCGCGCACCCTCGTGTCCACGCAACAGGTATTGCAGCCGCTCTCGAAATATAAGGTACGCATGCAACCATCTCTCTGACACCAGCGGGGTAATGCGCTACAGCTGTCGCCACACTCGGCGTTCCAAGCATGAGCGTGGTCATATCCTCGCGCTAAAAAGCCGAGGGTGGGAACACTTTCAGCGCATGACGGAGGCGCGGCCCCGCCACCAAGCAGCCGTGAATCTGGCGCGTGTGCACCTCCGCATGTCTCTAAGAAGGCAGCAACCTAGCCGAATCTTCCTGCATCGGCAGTGGATCGCTCACGGCTGGCGGGCACAATGGGTTAACGGTGAGCGCAGACAAAGAGCGGTCCGCGCGTGCTTCGTCGCGGGGCCCGCCGCAGGTAAGCGCTACCCAAGCCTCCCTTGCAAACTTGACTTCGGGGCCCGGCGGCGAGATGATTCGCCTGGTTGTACTGGAAACCAAAGCCAAGCAAGATCCATTCTGCCTGTAGTGCTGTGCTGCATCATGAGACCCTACGGCCTGGGGGTGATTCTCGCCGCGCCGCGATGAGGTCAATCGCCGCGGACCCCCCGATGACGGCGGCCATCTGCCTTGCACCGTGCGCGAGCCGCCCGCCTATGGCACGCGCGGCCCCTCGACGCACGCGGGCGCGTGGCCCGAGCGTGCGTCGCCGCCGGCGCCGCGGGCAGCTGGCTGCAGGGCGGGCGGAGCGGATGCAAGCGAGTGCACATTTCTTTCAGCTCCTCCGCTCCCTATCAGGTACCTCGTGAAGCACTGTTCCTTCTTCGTCTCGCTTTTCTACTCATGGCTGATATTGATTGCGTGGCCCCTGTGGCCCCGAGCACTGCACTGCACCGCCGACAACGGTTGAAGCTGGATGCACAAGATCTGTGAGTTTGGATTCGTGCTGTCTAGCAGTCGCGGTCATATGGCACGATGTCGGAAGTATACACCCCATTTCGATGCATGCCTAGGTCCCCCTTGCATGGCTGGTTGCCCATCGCCCACGTTGACGAGGTCCCCAACATTTCTCACGTCCATCTGGACTTGTTCAAGCTTGCGGCTTTCGGCGCGGCGCTTCTGGGCGCTCGCGAGGATTCTGGGGCCGCGGACGTCATGGCGACTCTGCCTTGTATGGAGACGCTGCCCGTCGGGGGGCGGACCTCAATCGAAGGGGGTAGCGACGAGACCGAGCTTCTCGTAGGTCCTGAAGGCATATGGCACGGTCTGCACTCGCCCTCTGCTTTGCGCCCGCAAGACGAATATCACAGTGAGCGCATGGAGCGGCTTTGCATGTGCAGGATTTCGCTGTTCACTCTAGAGGCCAAACACAAGTATCTTTCGCTGGTCGGCTTGTAGATTTTAATTGACTGGCCCCCATGCCCAAATGATCGCTGATCACGATGAGGCCGACATCTGCGCGACGCGACGCCAACTGTGTGAATCCACCGAACTTGCCATTTGAAGGAGGGCCCAGCATGGCGTCGCACGACAATTGGATACCGCGGTCCGCCGCCTGCAAGAAAACCCTCCAGGCGCCAATGGCGCTCTCTGGGCGGCCGGGGGCTGCGGGGGCGCTCCGCGTCGGCCTGAACGCGCCGAGAAACAACCCTGGGCGTCCGGTGAAACCCAGATCCCCAATCCGTCGCCGAGACGTCTCCAAGAGCTTCCACATCGACGCATCGACGCAAGCGGACCCAATAGTTACACGGGGGCCTCGGGGGAGCCAGTGCGACAACCCGAGGCAGAGCGCGACAGGCCCAAAGAGAGGCCCGATACGCCCAAGAGCGAGCCACCCGCAGAAGCACGCAAGAAACCACTCGCATCCGCCCCGAACAGGGACGCAACCCAGTCCCGCGACTGGTGAAATGAAAGATTGTGCGGTTTTGGCCCGCCCAAAACGACGCAATCTTTCGCTTCGCCGATCCAGCCTGGCGGGGGTCCCAGGGGCGGGCGCCGCGCCCGCTCCGAGGCGGCGGGCCGATCGACGCAGGGCCGCGCCTTCGCTTGAGCGCGCGCGCCGATCTGCGGCGCGGCGCGCGCAGTCCTGCGCCTGAGGCCTGCAGAGAACAACGGTGCACATATTCGCATGGGCATGCAAGTTCCCGTCGACATTGCTGGGCAGCCTTGAAATACGCGCTGATTGAACGGGATCAAACCGCGGCTATATAGGCACATGTGGCCCCAATGTCTGTTCGAGGGCCGCTCGTACCAACCGAAGGACCGATGCATCGCGCATCGTGTCGCTTTCCATCAGTAAATGAAAAATGCATCTATAGCGCGCGCGTCGTTCTCGAAGAGCCCAGCAGCATCTTGCGATGGCCGCGCTCGCTTGGTTTGCGCGTTCCAAGGAGGCAGCAAGCAGCGAAACGAAGAGCGCGCCGTGTAATACTTTAATCCAGCGTCTACGTTCGAAAACCCAAACAACCAGTGACACATACAAATTTAAGGACCCGACAATCAACAATCCGCCGAGAGGACTAAGGGAATCTTTCCAAACTCTCCCACCGTTTTCCAGTTTGATATCCGGTGCTGCTGTTTCTATATCTGTGCCTGGCCAGGAGTCGCCAGAAGGAGGGGGTGACTTGCTTTCGAGCCTCGGACCCCCGTGGTCAATTCTCATCTGTGGGACTGCGTACTACCCGTTGTGAGATCACGTTCTGCGGTGTGACGGCGAGGCACTTGTGACCTGTCAAATCTCGAGTGCAGTATACGTACTTGATGACTAATTCACGACATGGCCCTCGATGCTGCTTAATCCGCCGGCCCCCTTGTGGGGCCACCACGCTGCTGCTTCCGATGGTAAATTGTTGAAGTCCGCGCGAGGGGGGGGGAACCCCAAACCAGGTTTTTGCCTCCCCCCCCCAGGTCGGGTTGCCAGAATTCCTGGGGCGCGCGGGACACTTGAAAACACATGAGACTCGCGCGCCCGAGGCCATCATCCATGGTAAATTACGCAACGCTCGCGTCCCCGAAACTATAAACATTCGTACATTACGCCGTAGTCGCGTCCCGGAAGCCATAATTCCTACTAGATAACACCACGTTCGCGACCTGTTGTAAATTACGCCGTTGCTGCATCCCTGAGGCAACACACCTTCGAACATTATACCATATTCGCGTCCCCGGAGCCATCAACCATCGCAAACGATACCCTATTCGCATTGCCGAGACCAAGAGTGCTCCAAGGTGCAGGAAAATTGTTTCGAGACGGCCCAACAGGGCCCCAAGAGGCCCAAGAGCGCCCCAAGAGGCCTCCCGAAAGAGCCTCAAGTGGCCAACATCGTTGACTTCACTATGGTTTTCGAAGGATCCCGGCATTCTCGCATGTTCGGCTTCCCGACGCTCCAAGACTGCTCAAGAAGCTTCCAAGACCGCCCCAAGGCAGCCCAAGACGCCTCGCTCCAAGACGGCCAAAGAAGGCTACAAGATGGCCCAAGAAACGCCTGGACATGCGCCGAGAAGCCCCCAGGAGGCCCCAAGAGGCCGCCAAGAGGCCCCAAGAGGCCCCAAGAGGCGCGCAAGACGCCTCCAAGAGGCCTCCAACAGGCCCAAAAGATACCCCACGAAGCCCCAAGAGGCCCCAGAGAGACGTCCCAACCGCTTACAGGAGGCTCCCCACGACCCTCCAACACATATACCAGAGCCTCAGACCCACAGCCGAGGCACGGTGGTAGGATGGGCCGAGGGCCATTCGAATCCGCCGCCCCCTGTTGATTCATCACAGGGGTGCCTGGCGTGCTAGACGATTTCGGTTTTGGCTCTTTTTCCTAAAGAACGCCCCCTGGGGCTCCGGTGCGTCCCGCTGGGGTCCCGGGAGGATTGCCCAGGGGTGGTTGCAAAGCGTTTGTCCTGCTCCAGACGGCTCCAAGACGGCCCAAGATGGCCTCCAAGATGGCTAAGATGACCCCAAGATGCCTCCAAGACGGCCCATGCACCCAAGACGGCCTCAGATGGCCTCCAAGAGGTCCTCCAGGAGGGCCCGAAGAGGCCAACACCATTGATTTTCCTTTAGGTTTTTACCTAACAGCGTTTGCTGATAGGTTTCTAGTAGGGTCAAAAGAGAGTCATGACTCCTCAGGGGGGTCTGGGCGGGTGCCGGGGAGGAGAACCGGGAATCGTTTTTCGCCAACAGTCACACACTTCGTGCTCTTCGACCTCCCAGAACTCCATTCCCGGGCCACATTCTGGAGAACCGGGAACAGAGCCGGGCTCGTTTTCGCCAACAGTCACACACTTCGTGCTCTTCGACCTCCCAGAACTCCATTCCCGGGCCACATTCTGGAGAACCGGGAACAGAGCCGGGCTCGTTTTTCGTCAACAGTCACACACTTCGTGCTCTTCGACCTCCCAGAACTCCATTCCCGGGCCACATTTTGGATGCCCGGAGCCAACTGTAGGCCAC